GAATTTAATAAAAGTTTAGTTACTTTATATTTATCATTATACTTTTAACGAGAATTAATGTCCTATCCTACTCGTTCGGCTAACGACCCTCCACCAGTCAAGGAAGTGGTGGGTGATAGTGGACATCCATTAAACCATCATTTTATAGGCAGTAACCTTATACCCCCTTAGTTACTAGCCTATTTTTTATGATATTAATGGTATTTACAGACTTTTTTATGATATTAGTCAAATTTATTTTTTTGAAATTCAATGGATTAGCAATTTAGGGTCCCTAATTAATCATCGTCTGACCGATTAATCCTTTAACCACAATCCACCGGTTAGCTAACGTTGAATGTTTTTTACAACCCTGTTTGCAGTACAAAAGAAAAATTCTTGCACGTATAATCCAACGTTTTCAATGAGTTTCTTTTTTTCATTTATATTGATGACATGTTTATTTCTTGCAAAGATGACTAAAACTGATAGGTTGAAACAATTCTCAAGTATGAATTCAAGATAAAAGACTTGGAACGTCAAAGACAAGTTTTATGGACGTGTATTACTTGTGATAGAAAGGTAAAAATAATAATGTTAACACAAAAGAACTACATTAAAATGGTTCTCTCTCGTTTAACGTTGATGGAGCAAAAGTCATTCGTACAATGGTGTGGATGAGATCAGAGTCGGTACATCTCGTTGGTAGTCACCAAGTATTAAAGGTTTTGTGACTTAATTCAAATACTTATCTTTGAGAATTCAAAGCTCTTTTGTTATATTGAAGGATTTTGTGACTCGAACTTTGTCATGTACACAAATAGATGGAAATACACATATAGCCATGTTTTCACACTTGGAGGTACAACTACTAGTTCGAGAACAAGAATATAGACTATCGTCGAGAGTGAATTAATTTCGACCTGTGAAGTTGCTAAGGAAGCTTTATACCTTAAGCAACTTTTATTTGGTATAGGTTTTACACTTGAACATCTTTTTGGTAAGGAAGCTTTATACCTTAAGCAACTTTTATTTGGTATAGGTTTTACACTTGAACATCTTTTTGGTAAATCCTGATAATCAAAGAGTCATTCATCTTGCTAAAAGAATTGACATTTAGTTCACAAGCACAAATTCAAGTCGAAGAATCCTTTATTGTAACTTTGTACGAGGAAAGAATACGCATATTGAAAAAGATTCACGCCAATGACAAATCAACACGTATGTTCACAAAGGCACTTCCTTGTTACTATGTCAGGTATTGCTTTAACCTTTTCTGCCCACAAGCTTGTTAGTATTTGATGACACATTGAGGAGAGGAGGCATGGAAGATTTTGGATTTCTGTTCATTCATTTTACTTTTCGATACATTTTATACCAATGTATTTATGTGGGAAGGCCATGTTTAATCTTGTATTCATATTTATTTTTCTGTGTTGTTCGAAACAATTTTGTCATTTGGAGCGAAACTCAAATTTGTTGTAGATTCTCAAACTTGGGAGAACTCATCTTGTTGAAGGATCAAAATCAATGTAGACTATTGATAATTACTAGTTTAGCATTGTTATAGATCACGATAATTATTTGTTTATCATCATAATACAACAACCCACCAAACCGGTCTTTTGGGTGGAATAGTCTGACCATCTACCATACTAATATCGCTAAATGCATGAGCACTCTGGTAATCATAGTTGAAAGGCTCTTTTACGGGCTCGTTTCATATATGGAAGGTTTTTAGGTTTAGCATTTTTTTTCTATAAAAGAATGCTTCCTTATCATTAACCGAAATACATAGAGAAATCTAAGAGATCAAATTAGAGAGTTTATCATGGATTTTGAATAATTAATATAGGTTCTAGTTTTGGTAGGAATTTCGGTTCTAGGTATGGTAGCACCTTTGCAATCAAGTTCCGTTTATCCTATTATTCTATATTGTATATTCTATACATATCATTTAGGGATGAAGTCATGAAGATCCCAACAGAAAAATAACATAAAAATGATCTGTATGAAATAATCAAATTATTAATGATGTGCGTATCGGAGTGAACCACATGGACCGTTTTGTAATACATTTTAATAATATAAAATATTAATAATATTATTAATAATAATAATATTATTAATGGACATGAAAAATAGAAAGTTATTAAATTCGAGGGTGTGCGCGGTGCGGTTTGGTGCGGTTTAGAGTCAAAACCGCAAACCGCACCGCATATGCGGTTTGAATATTTTAGAAACCGCAAACTGCACCACAAATGTTCAAAACCGCGTTATGCGGTGCGGTTTGATGCGGGCGGGTTATGCGGTTTGGTTGCGGTTTGTGCGGTTTGAAGAGTTGTTCAACATTAAATCTATCAAAAAACCAAAAAACTGACCCGGTTAAAAAAATTGATTGCTTTTATTTTATAAAAACAAATACAATTTTCAAGTTAAAATCGTTTTTAATAAATTATGATTCATGATACTATAGTTTTGTAGGTGTCACTGTTATTGCTTTATATTGCCGTTATAATTGATATATTCTTGTAAACTGTGGGATCTTAATCTAATAGTGATTTAATGTTACGTTATAAATATTTGATTATTGTAAGAAATATATTTAAATACATCGTTTCTAAATCGTGATTTAAAGTTATAACAAAGTAAAGAAAATAAAGTATATATATATAACATGCGGTACGGTGCGGTTTGAACCGCGATTTTATAAATACAAACCGCAAGCCACACCGTATAGTACGGTTTGATAAAATGACGAACCGCAAACTGCACCACGAAATTCTAAACCGCATTATGCGAAGCGGTGCGGGCGGTTTGTGCGGTTTTTTGTACGCCCCTATTAAATTCTTATATTCAAGCTAACCGGCGGTTGCTATATAGAGGGAAAGCACTTTAGACATGATCTTAATATTTCTACTTTCTGTTGTCAATACCTTCTTCTAGCAGCCTCAATGGGTGTCGTACGGACAGACGAGAGTCGTAGAGCTGAGATCGAAGAGTTCCGGCGGATGCTGCTATCCTGCTCCGGCGTTGTCCTCAAGGTTAGAACCGAAGAGGAGTACAACCGCCGGCAAGTGCCAGCAGCTAGCAAAAACGAATACGCAGTAGATCAGAAGCTTGTATGCGTCACAAGCGGCGTCTCTTTCCTTGGCATCGCAATTGTGAAAAAATTATTACTCAGAGGCTATTCCGTTCGGATCATCGTCGATAACGAAGGTAAAAATGGCGCTGTTACTTGTATTGTGATTAATTAGATGAGATTTTTGTGCATATATCTTCTATACTAGTTTAATCATGAATTAACCGGAAGTATTTTGAATTACAGACGATATTGAGAGATTGAGGGAGATAGAAATTACAGAGGAGGCAGGAGGAAGATCGAACATTACAAGCAGCAATCAGATCGGAGTTGTTCAGGCGAATTTCAACGAACGTCGGAGCTTAATGGAAGCTTTCGATGGATGTTCTGCTGTATTTCATACGGCGGCTTTCATTGATCCGAGTGGACTCTCCGGCTACTCGGTGAGTCACTGAGTCTCTTTCATCCGTATCGTTTTTCGATCACGTCGAGACAAAAGTCTCTATCGTAGCAGGTCAAAGACTATAAGTCTATAATCCATTTTCCACGGAAAAATCAATGCAGACAGCGTGTGTTGTTCCAAGATCTGAATGGTTGTATTTTATTATTCAAAATTATATGTTAGATTTGGCTTTTGGTGAATTATTCTATTTTCTCTTTCCTTCTAGAACCTTTTCTAAATATACAATAGATTAAATAGTGTAGTTTTTAACTTTTTATATGGTCTAGAATCTTTTAAACAATCCAGTTGATTCATTATAAATAAAAATTTATTCTAAATATATATTTTAAACAATCGAGCTGATAATTGACTATGAAATTGATAGAAAATAATGGCGGAAGTAGAAGCAAGGGCAGCAGAAAATATAGTGGAAGCCTGTGCTGCCACGTCATCAGTTAGGAACTATGTGCTTACATCTTCTCTATTGACATGCATTTGGAGAGACATTTCCGATAGCAGCCTCTCTCATGTGGTAGACCACAATACTTGGAGTGATGAATCCTTTTGCAAACGCAAAAAGGTTAATATTCACATTTCACAATCAGATATTTGATTTTATTTTATGGAAAACGTGTAGAAGATAATTATTTATTGAAATATTGTAGTTATGGTATGCTTTGGGGAAGTTGAAAGCAGAACACGTGTCATGGAAAATAGCCAAGGA